TGCCCCCAGAGTATATACGGGATGCCCTTATTCATGATCGTATGCTTCGTTAAGTTATGAATAAAACCGCTATCGTCTCTTTTCAATATAAATAAATAAATAATAATAATAATAATAATGAGTTACAACTTATAATGATCGTAAATTCGGTAGCGTACTTTTTGAACACGTCGTAAGTATTTAATGGACATGTAATGCTATTATAACTATCATTTTGATGCAGTCAAATTAAGATATCTATGAATTAAGTAACGTAATCATAATCTTATATGGTTGGATTCTTACCCTAAATTTTCTACTAATTTAATAAGAATTTCTCTCTGTACGGTAACTCTCAAATGATCAAATCAACCCTACCTTGGGTATTTTCTCTAAGGATCAAATAATATGATACATCTCTATTGATCTAATATTCTCATACACGGCTAGCATAAGCTCATCTCTCTCATACACGTCGTTGTCTACACCTATTGTTTGATTCTCCCTCCATAAGTTATATAGGGAACCCAATGCCCATCATGAATTCAATCACACGCAACACCCCCCTTCCCCCCCCCCCCCCCCCCCCCCCCCCCCCCCCCCCCCCCCCCCCCCCCCCCAACCCCAACAACCAAATAACCCCATTCACCCCATGTCCGGCGCTCATGGGTTATTTCAAGAGAACTTTAACGAAAAGTATCCGGTACTGTTCATTTTAACGAAAAACCATATTTTTACACTAAAAAGTCAATCATAGTACTATTCACTTTACCCTTTATTTTGTCCTTATCATTAAAACTCAAAGTTTTCAAGCCATTTTCATTAGTTTTCCTTTATTTTTTCAATGGGTATCGCCACCGTCCACGGTTATGCGCAGGTTTGATTCAAACAATAGGGTCAAGGCTTACCTCCCCCATTGTAATGTGTTAATGTGTCAATTTTAGTAATAAAGGTATGTCTCTACCATCTTAAGAAATGTAATGTGTCAGATATAGTAATAAAGTTATGTCTCCATCGTTGAAGGAGTTCACCATCATGATGTCTCAGGATAATAATATAATGTTATGTATCTATTAATCTTAACATGTCATTATGTTATTTGATGAAAACGCTATATAACGGTAAAACGCATTTTATATAATTTGCTATTATAAAATGATTTCCTACAACTAACCTACAAATGAAAATGCCCATAATTTGATTTAAAGAATTGGTTTCCGTAACATAACCATCGAGAATATATTTTAAGTTAAATAGTTTTCTTAGCATTAACCCACAATTATTAAAGTAAATACGATTATTTACACCAAAACATCAACGAAATCTAACGGCTCCAAGAGTCCATGACTTACGTGGCACTTTCTCGTGTGTGCGATCCCAAAATCGAGACAAACCAGAATGACACTCTGTGCACTGTAAATGGAGAGATTTCTCAATGTGACCGGTACACGGGATGGTACACTACATGTTACTATATAAATAGTGAGATATGTGTGCTAAAAAGTTAATAACTTAAAAAATAAAACTTCCAACCACTCCTATTAAAGCACGTGGTGTACCACTTGTGTTCCCATCACAACTAAAAATTTCTCCTGTAAATGGTCAAAACAGTCACACACTCCCACAGAGGTTTTTCAATGTGATCAGTACACGAGGTAGTACATCATGTGTCATTATAAAAATAATGGGATATGTGTGCTAAAAAGTTAATAACTTAGAAAATAAAACTCACAACTTCTATTAAAACATGTGGTATACCACTTGTGTTCCCGTCACAATTAAAAATTTATCCCCACAGAGGAGAGAGATTTTTCAATGTGACCGATACATGGATAGTACACCATGTATCACTAAACAAATGATGAGATATGTATGCTAAAAAGTTAATAATTTAAAAAATAAAATTTCTCACGATTCCTATTAAATCACGTGATGTACTTGGTTTCCGTCTAAAACTAAAAATTTCTCCGCAGAGGAAGCAGGTGGGAAACGAAATCTTAACGAATCCCCACGCGGCGAGCATTTATAAGACACCTTTGGGATGCTCAACGGATCTGACCCCGCGCGCGCGCCTCCAACAAAGCAGCGGCCCAGATCGATACGAGCGGCGAAGAATTCCGGAGGGAGATGAAGAAAGCGAAATTACACAAAAATATTTCGAATTTAATTAAATTTTCGAAAAGAATAATTCGTTGAAAAGATTAAAAATTTAATTAATTTTCTAAATTGGGTGAGTCTTTTTGCTGGCTGAAATGGAATTGAACGCTTGAATTAAGCTGAGGCAGCTATAAAAAGGGGAGAGGAAGTGAAGGGTAGGGGTACGCTGGCTGTTACTTGCATCTCGGAAGCAGAGGAGGCGGCGGAGGCAGGGGAAGGGGAAGGGGAAGAGCAGATAACCACAACCGAGTGGCTCCTGGCGGGGCAAGGACATCATCGAGAGTCGACTATGGATGCTACCAGTGAAGCTTATTCTGGTTCTAAGAAGGTTTTTGATGAAGAAAGTACCGAAATCCCAGAAACCGCTCATCAGATTAGCACAGGTTCTTTCATTTTCTTTTTTCTTAATTTTAATTGTTCATATATATTTTAATTTATGTTATTTTATCTGGGTTTGTTTTTTTCTGTAATTTTGATTGTTCTGTTACCACAATTCGTTCATTGGATGAACGAAATGATTGCTTTTTCAATCGTTTTCCAAAACCCAAGAATGTTTTTGAATTCAGAATTGGTTTCATGCAATGTTTCCTCAGGAACTCAGGAAATGAATCGTTTTTTCTTCTAATTTTGTTCATGTGATTCCTAAAAAGTTTCAATTTTTGGTTCCAGATTGCAATTCATGAAGTTATAGTTTTCGGAATGTGTAATGAATGAATTCGGAATGATTTCGAATAGCATTGTGAATTGTGTTATTGGTATTGAAATTGAGGTTGAAATTGCTCTCATTGAGCTCATATAACATCTTTGGTTTCCACAGATTCATGGTTTCAAGTGGGATTCGTCCTCACCACCGGTATCAACAGTGCGTATGTGCTGGGATACTCCGGAAATGTCATGATTCCTCTTGGTTGGACCGGCGGTGTGATCGGTTTAATTCTAGCCACTGCAATATCACTCTATGCAAATGCTCTCATTGCCAAGCTCCATGAGTATGGAGGGGTTAGGCACATCAGATACAGAGATCTTGCTGGATTTATATACGGTACGTGTGAAAAGGATGCCAATATCGAAGAATTGATCACCTTTCGTTTATTGATTTTACCTTTCTGATGTCTTCTTTCATGGCTGTGTTGATCCCTGATGGGGCTATTTGGTTGCAGGCAAGAAAGCTTACTCTCTGACATGGGGATTGCAATATGTCAATCTTTTCATGATTAACACTGGATATATCATTTTGGCCGGTCAGGCACTCAAGGTGAGAGCACTTTGCAATTTAACTCCAATCGGATCATCTATGTGCATATATGAACAGATTAATGTCTAATTTTCCTAAAACTTGTAGTCTTTCATTATGCGTGCAGGCTGCATATGTTCTGTTTAGGGATGACCACACCATGAAACTACCACATTTCATTGCCATTTCCGGCTTTGTGTGCGCCATATTCGCAATAGGGATACCGCACTTGTCAGCTCTGAGGATTTGGCTGGGGTTTTCAACAGTCTTCAGCTTGATGTATATTGTTATAGCATTCGTCCTGTCACTTAAAGACGGTAAGGATCATCTCACATTCTTTTTTGGAATTTTTAAGAACTTTGAACTGTTGGATTTGCGTTAACAGCTATGTTGTTCTAGGACTTCAAGCACCGGCCAGGAGTTATGACATCCCAGGGACACCAATAAGCAGAATATTTACTACAATCGGAGCGGCTGCTAGCCTTGTTTTTGCATTCAACACGGGAATGCTACCAGAGATACAGGTAACAAATGCTTCAATCGTTCAAGTTTTCGCAAGAATGCTGACATGAAAACCACAATTGTCCCTCAATGTAAGGCTTTCCACACTCACGTTTGTAGGCTGTGATTTTGTGACAGGCTACAGTGAGGAAGCCAGTGGTTGACAACATGATGAAAGCTCTGTACTTTCAGTTCACCGCTGGTGTTCTGCCGTTGTATGCCGTCTGTTTTATAGGGTATTGGGCATATGGAAATAACACATCATCTTATCTGCTCAACAACGTCAACGGACCAGTCTGGGTGAAGGCGATGGCCAATGTTGCTGCCTTCCTGCAAACAGTCATTGCCCTGCATGTAAATCCTCTTCCTTTGTACCCCTCTCTTTCACACTCTCAAACTGCACTAACCCAACAAGCTTTTATGCTTCTGCATTTGCAGATATTTGCAAGTCCAATGTATGAATATCTGGATACAAAGTTCGGCATCAAAGGAAGTCCACTGAAAATTCAGAACTTGACATTCAGAATCACCGTTCGAGGCGGCTACCTAGCGATTAACACGCTGGTTTCGGCTCTGCTGCCATTCCTCGGAGATTTCATGAGCCTCACAGGAGCCATCAGCACATTCCCCCTCACATTTATCCTTGCAAATCACATGTATTTGGTGGCAAAGAAGGAGAAGCTGACTTCTGCACAGAAGTGCTGGCATTGGCTGAATGTTGGCTTCTTTGCCCTTTTGGCCGTCGCAGCTTTGGTTTCGTCCTTGAGGCTCATAGCCGTAGATTCCAAAACTTACCATGTATTTGCTGATCTATGATTAATTTTCTTCCCCATTTTTTTTTACATTTTTTTTGCCATTCGATCCTTCAATTGTATTAAATTTGCTCTTGGCATTTAGATGCCTTTTGTTCTTCAAGGCCTAAGCATACTTAATTTGTTGGCTGATTTACACTAATAGTCTACGTAGTTTACTTAAATTTTCACTTTTGTCCGTCCTGGGTTTCCAAACGAGATGTGCAAAAAAGTGAATGGAAATCAACTAGCTGATAGATGTGACTAAAACAAAAACAAAACGAAATTTATATGAACAAAAATGTAACAAAAAATATTATGGGGACGGAAGTGAAAGATTGAGTAAACAATAGGAAATTTTAGTGCAATTTGGCATTAATAAATATATGTTTCCAGTATCATACGCACAACGGCAGAGAGCGATCCTGAGTGACCTTAAAATGCGCACAACGGATATGTTGGCAAACAATTACTATCTAAAATCAAATAGATTCTGAACAACAAGGAACATGAACTATTTCAAAATACAATGTTGAAACAATATCCATCAACCTAATACTTCAACCCTCCAAGAAACGAGAGTCGATTTTGCAGATTCCCGATATCAATTCGATGAATCTTCGGATCAATTAACCTGAAACCGTCCAAAATCAGCAAAAAAAAGTTTCAGAATGGATGAAACCATGAACATTAGCAGTTTCTATATCAAGCACATAAAAGAATCGAGTCAAGCTCAGGTCTCAACGTTAAATTACTTCGCTACTAAACTTTTTTTTTTAATTGAAAAAATAGACATTATTTATACATATCATGAAGAACTCGGCAAACTAGATATAGATTAATTACAATAAAGCATCAACAATCGCAAAGCAATAAGTAGACATCAAGCACTCGTCCGAGCTCATCGAGAACCGCAAGATAACAAAGATCAATAAAACAATTAAACCTCGTGTGAGAACAAAAAACTCATCATATATTGGGACGGGGAGTACGATGCCTATGGGTCTAATCGTATCATCTAATCACCGCCACGATCCCAAAACACCAAGTGAAGTAGATCGGGCAAATCAAACAGCTCCACCCTTCACTCATAGATGCAAAGGAGATGTAGCACACCAAAACAAAAATTAAATGAAGCAACTCTCCTATAGAGAGCAGTCAAACCAGAGTGAAAGCTCAAGAGTAAGTTTGTTTGGACAAAGTGATACAAGGAAAAACAGAAGAAGAAAACAAAAGAACAAGGTAGGAACTCCGTAATTATCTTACAATATTTCACAAACAAACTCAAACAAGAAAAAAAAGATATTATCCCTTAGGCATAGATCTATATCTTACCTCATTTGGCATCATCCAGATATCAATTTTAGAACGATGCAGACAGTATTGAGTAGTACGAGAGGAACTCTCAAGTACTGTGTTGCGTAAATGAGACCTATAATCTGTCCCTTCACTGATTTTGTCCTGCCCACTGAGAATTCTGAGAGGCTCCATCCCCTAGGCACAAGGAAACGGTCTTCATTTAATATTGCTAATGCATTCGCAAGAAGCAGAAAGCCTTCAAGTAGCGTCCCCAAACCCATTTATCTGAAAAGTGAAGAATTCATGTCATGTGAGCTAATATGTAAGTGATAGAATGGAAAACAGTTCAGCAACTCCACTGCGCCCGAATTCAAAAGAATGTTCTCTGAAAAATTAATTCCGCATTTATAATGAAGTTGCCATAATCTCAAAGACGCATTCATTTGCACTTTTGGGTAACTGGTTTCAGCACAAACAGGCAGGACAGTATCCTGGGGTGATTTGTTTCAATGCAACCCCCAAGACATTAGTTCTAGATCGTGTAGGCGAATCACGCATCAGCAGAGCACTAAATATGTGGTTTCTGAGTGTCCTAAACTATACATGAAATTCTTGAAATGATTGGGACTTAGATCAATCGGTTATCGGTTATTTTGCACTGACACTAACCAGATCTTAGATCAATCAGTTATCGGTTACACTACTGATATTCGTTCCTAAGGTGAAAACTAGTTTAAGGTCCAATAACCAGCCTAATCACCCACAAAACAAATCCCATTTGCAGAAAATGAAAAGTTGTGGCATTCTAACGCAGCAACACCAGCAACTAAAGAGAATTATACACAATTTCTCAAAGTAAAACAACCCCAAAATACCAAACACGTCCCTTCCAGAAATGGATATGCAAAACCAAAGAATCCTTAACCCCCATCAAAAAAAAGAAAAAGAAAAAAAAGCAACCTGGCAAATCGAATCCTCTCATAAATAGTGAGGTAAAACCTCAAAACACATGTAAATATAGGCATAAAAGGTGAAAATAAAGAATACCCATGTGCGATTTAAGCTGTAAACTTATAAACTTAAACCCAGGAACAGGAAGCTTCAATGGAATCAGTAGTTCCAAGAATAACCCCAGCTTTGGAAAACACGAAAGGATGAAATTGATCAAAAACCCAAGTGCTAATTTCAATGATTAACGAAGAAGATTGAAAACCCTTGTTACTAACCTCAATGCGGGTACCTGATCTCAGAGAGAGGGTATTGGAGGTGGAGAAAGGCTTAAAGCGAAAGGCTTCCAACAACCAAGCCTCCAGGAACAAAGTGGAAAGTGCCCTTCATTTTTCTCTTTTTCTTTAATTTTTTTATTTTATTTTATTATTTTGTTGCAAGTTTAATTTAATCTCGGGCTAGTTGAGCCTTCTTGCTGGATCACCATGTTTGGGCCCAGATCATAGTGGGCCCCGTAGTAATTTGTCATTTCGTTTGTTTTCCGTGTGTAAAGTTTTAGGGATGTAAGACAGTTCGCTAATTGAATTGTGTTCATCCTACACATCCAAGTTTGAATATCTCAAAATTTACGGTAACTAAGAATATTGTCTTCTAATAAAAGATTATGGTGCCGATTTTGAACTCTCATTTCCAATGTTGCAATTCTCGCACTTATTTTTGTGATTTGGTGATTTAATGAATAAAATGAAAATCAAAGAAGAGGAAACTAGTAAAACTGCAAACGGAAAATACGAGAGTGTAAAAATCGCCTATTCTAGGTTTATAATCAGAACTGCTCAAGGTGTAACGTACAATAATTGGACAAAGGGTGTAACATACAATTCTTCCTTAATACTAAAAACTAGAGGTCTCGGGTTTGAAACCTACTATTGGTGTGGAAGCCAAACTTATGGCCAGAAGGAGACTGAAATGCCTCTATGAGTCTTCAAGGCTCCTAAAAGGGGTGGATAATCGTGGCTTGCCACCAGTTGTCCCCTTTAAAAAAAATTAATTAAAAAAAAATCAATTGTCTTCAAACATGATACACTTTGTATGTACATTAACTAAAGAAAAATGTATTTTGAATGAATATTTACAGCTAAAAGCCACTCTCAAAACCCTAATCGTTTTACATATTTCTCCTTGCTAGTGATGAAGCTGGCTCTTTGGGCTTTTCACAAATGCAACCTGGATATGGATTTGCATAAAAGTTCTCCTCCAGTCTAGGCAAACTTCTTGGCACTCTGGGGTACGGTGCTCCGATCCGATTTTCGTGTAACCTCTTAACCCTTAACGAGAATGTTTTCCAAGATATCGCCCCCTCGTCCAACTTGTCAATCAATCTCACAATTCTTTGTTTGCAAGGCAAAGTAACATCCAATGTGTGAGATACAAAACTCCCAATACAACATGTTACATACCCCTCCTTCTCTTTCTCTATCATCGCATCACCATATGATGAGAGAGAAGTTGGAGGGGGTATGTAACATGTGACAGGTAAGTTTTTCGCGTTAGATAGAGCTCGAGTTAATTTAGAATATTCGGCAAAGAATCATGCTTACTTGTCAGGGTTGATTGTTTTTCTAAACCCGTTAAATATTCGATGGCCTTTGACTGCTTAAGCCATGTTTCCCTCATATGAGTAGATGAAAACATCACTCTCAACTGCTATAATATAGTCCAAAGCAACAAGCTGATTGAGCTTGTCCTTGTAAGGTTGTAACTCATCTTCATATGCTAAATTTGAGTGGAAAAATAGATTCGGATACTTAGCTTGCAATGATGTTAGCCCGTCTTGCCCATACATCTCACCGGAAACTATGTAAATTTTCGTATCCGAAGGAAACCCTATTGCCTCAAGGAAAAGAGTAACCTCTCTTGGGGTCATAGGGCATCGCCCTAATAGTCTCTGCTCCATGCCATTGATCTTTTTGTTTTTCCAATGCGGTGTCTACCCTCTTTTCCCTTTGATTTCTTTATCTTCGTGTATGGTGAGATTGTGACTGCAGCCTTTGAAAGAAAACATGTCCTTTTCATATCTGAGCAATTATAACATTCTGATTAGAAACCTTACTTGGACAGCAAGAATATGTTAAACATCAAATTTTTTAAAATTCATTAGACAAACCTTAGATGTAGAGCAATGTATTTGCTACCATTGTTCTTTAATCTGTCAACCAAATTCATCCCAAGCTCTTCGATTTCAGTTGCGAATTTCAGTGCCTTATAAAGGGCGCGGCAGCGGAGCCTCTGGATCGAGCTACCAACATTATTAGCAAGTCTAGAATTTGTGAGGGTAAATTTGACAACCTTGTGCTTCTTCAACAATGTTACCATCTGTAGTCTATAGTAACTGGACTGGTCCCAAATTGTTACACATTGTTAGATTCAAATCCCATTGAATTTGTCGAAAAGGGTACTAACAATGTTGATCGTACCTTTGACCAAGACACCGGATTCTTAAGGCAAGGCTTCACGTCTGCAAACTCCAGTGGGAGAGACTTTACAATCATGATATCGTCTCTCAAAACTTCCATGAAGTTCTTCCAATCGAAAATGTCTTTAAAGTCACTGAGAAAAAAAAGGGTCAAATTTAAAAGAGAAAGAGGGATGTTACAAAATGAAATACTCAATAAGTTAATACGGCGCTAACCTTGAGTTGGTCCAAAAGGATCTGTGATCCAAAGAAGGGAGGACAAGAGTGGCATTCATAAGTTTTGCTATTGCTACCATATCAGTTATCTACAATTTCAATTGTTCATAAGAAGCCCTAACAAAAATAACTATACACTCAATTGGCAAATCCAAAAACATAGAAGCTTAGCTCAATTAGTTGCATACCCCGAGCTTCATTTGGTTCAATCCGCCATTGGAACGAACTAAGAGATAGCCGTTTGTGGTTGTTTCGTTCACTACAAGAAACCAAACTTGTAACTTGATCAAAATTATACATTCATGGTAATGCTTAGCAACTTGTTGGAGAAGAAAACTTTCTGGACGTACGAAGTTCCTTCTTCGCTCGATTTATGCATTAGTAGTAATTATAACTCTCTGGTGGCGTCCAAATATCAAGAGTCTGACTAGCAGAAATCAAATACAAGATGGGATCACAATTTCAGGTGCGAGAGAATAAATCCTGCAATTTTATTATATAATGCAGTAAAAATAACAATCTGACCTGAATTTTTCGAGCAGCAAAGGCCGAATCAAACCTATTTTCTCTATCACCCTTAACTCTGGAAACATGTTTAGCAAGGCAAACTTGGCCAGCATTGACAGAAAGGCCAAACCCATCAAAACCATTGAAGTCCATCTGCACCACCACCAACTTGAGAATTCAGACAACTTTCGCACCCTGCGGTGAATAAACACGGCGTGAGCGTTAGCGTCGTAGGGCTTGACAGAATGGTTCGGTTGCTCCTCCGTCGAAATGTCGCCGCCTCGACTTGGCGCACGAGTTGCGATCATTAGTGGATTTTGACATAGGAAGAGAGAAACAGAGGAAAAACATTAGGGAGGCAGAGTAATGTAAAGAAGGAGAAGGAAATAGGAGGTGGGATTGGATTGAGGGGAGGAAATACCGGCCATGTTTGATTAATTGCTTTTTTTTTTTTAAATTTTTAATTCCGTTGGTATATAAGTGGGAGCGAATTATAAGGCAGAGGAAGCTCTGTGTTTGTGATATATATTTTTAATTTTTAATTCGTGTTGGTAATGTAAAACTAAATAATATCTTCTCAATATATAAAGGGAGCACTCTAAAATTAAAAAAAAAAAAAAAAAAAAAAGATACCACAAATGGTCCCTCAAGAATTCCAAAAATTACAATTAATTTAGAAAGCGTGAGTAATTCAACACATTAAATTTATAACTTTAGAAAATAAATATCAAAATGGTTTATGGACTTCAATTTTCTTTTTGAATATTTTTTTTATAAAAAATATATAAATAAATATACTTAATTTCCTAAATCATTTGTTTAACATAAAATAACTTTTTTAATTTTACATATAAATGTCAATTGTCACGTGCGTAAGCATGTGGCAAGAGACTAGGATATAAATAAAAAAAAAAGCTTGCGATGCACCACACATTTTGTACAAGCAAACCAAAACATTAAGAGATTAAAGGCATAATCTTATATTTTGTTTTTAAAAAATGATAAATGTAGCTAAATTAAAATTGAATCCAAGAAGAATATCCAACAACCCCTAATAGCATCTCTAATGGAGATATCAAAATATAAATGTCCAATATTAATTTGAAAGCTTATGTGACAATGCTAAATTTCTATTTTTTTCCGACCCTTTTTTTTTGCGTGATTGGAATTAGGAAAGGAAGTTGTGACACTTTTTGAATATGAGGAGGAGGCTACTCCGGTTGTAGGTTTGCAATGGATAATGAAAATGCAGCAGTAGCCACCAATGATTTCTTTTGTACAGGAATACTAGACTTAACAGTCAACATAAACCTAAGAAGATCCTTGATTGTGATCAACTATGGTTCACTCACATACAACTCTCTTTTTAATTTTGTATATATGCAATGATACTGAGAGGTACATAATAAACCAATCATAATTAGATTTTGAATCTGCCACACGTAATAACCTTTCAAATATATATAAAGATGAATACTACTAGACTGTAGTATTAGTAAAAGCTAAAGAGCAAAAGTTAAAGAAATATCTCTTCCAAAAAAAATGAACATAAATTAAGGCAAATCTCAAGCAACAAGTTAGAGGGCTTTTAGATTTGGGCCTTCTGATAATTTATACTAGGCCCGCATACAACTTCAAACCCATTTATATAAATACGATAATCTTCTCCCCCAACCAAATTAGGGTTTAGTGCTTCTTCTTCGCAGGCTTCTGTGGTTGTTCGCTGTACGCACACAAACCCCCAATCGCAAAAATGGTAAAGGGACGCCAAGGAGAGCGAATTAGGTAAGCTGATCAATTTCTTCCCAAACCCAAAACCCTAATTTTTGAAAATGTTAATGCGATTACATGTTTTCAGATTTCTAATCTTTTGCTCACTGTAATTTCTCATACATCAGACTCTACGTCAGGGCCACCGTTCTCGGATACAAGAGGTAATTAATCTTCTACTGATAAAATATATGAAATGGGGATTTTTTTTTTTCGTTCATTTTTTTGGTGTTTTGAGCTAAATGGAGGCTAGGGTTTTGAGTTTCTGATTGTTATTGGGTTAGGTCTAAGTCGAACCAGTACCCGAACACCTCTCTGATTCAGATCGAGGGAGTGAACACCAAAGAGGAGGTGGCGTGGTATGCCGGGAAGCGGTTGGCCTACATTTACAAGGCCAAGGTGAAGACCAATGGCAGCCACTACCGCTGCATTTGGGGCAAGGTTTCCAGACCTCATGGT